TTTTAGAATGATGAAGCAAATATTACGTTATAGAACAAACAGCGCGCAAACACACATAAATATCTGTAAAATATCTAAGAAATACTTCAATATTATAAACGCATTCTCTGAGCAGTACAATTACAAATGTTTCGTTATGTAAGAATAATATTGCGGTACTTGTTCATCGCATCATCACGTACAGGAATGAATGAAGAATGTCAAATGTGTGAGTCAGAGGGTCTTGTGAAAAATTTACTTTAAGAATCGAGCGTTTTTCTACAAGCGTCCTACATAGCAAACCAGTAAAATTGTTCGGCTCTTGGAGCTTTTAAAAGGCTGCGGTAAATGGAACCTGCAGCGAGCACCGTAGTTTAGACAAACGCTACGTTTGGGCTGAAGGGATGCCCCTTTGAAAAACTCGGGAGGATTTTTCGTTCGCCCCACCTAAAGTACCGCTTTTATACGAATTCACGGCAAACAAGAAAACGTTGTTTGTGGCGACTGAGTCGCACGGTCGAACAATATATATATAAACGATAAAAATGAATCCGTAAAACTTTCTTACCTACATTTTTCTACCTAGGATTTTACAAGTACTAAGAGAAAATATTGTTTCTAAAAAATAATACAAATTCCCACGAATGACGGTTAGTTATCACGTGCATTATTACACACTCGAATAAACATTATCTTTGACAAAGGGAGACCCTCAAGATTAGCAAGATATACTTCTACAAAAACACATATTGCATTGTTGCTATAGTGATGCGTGACGCACAGTTAATGAATAAGCGCACATGTCTCATAATCGCGATATTTCGCGAATATTAATAAATTTAATACTTCAATCAAGAATATTAAATTATATAATTGAAAGAAATACATTACATTTTTCTGATCTAATAAATTTTCTTAAATTAAATGAACCATATCTGAATTTTCTTCGATAAAATTTTATAATATTCTTCAAAAGAAAATATTTACTTTTTTTGAATACATGATAATGAGTATTTCTATAAAATGTGACAAGTCTATTTTAAGACTATTATTAAGAAAATATTCTTTGTTAAAGATAACTGTTACTTAAAAGAAGTAAAGTAAACTGAGTAATCATTTTACTTAGCAATAGAATAATATTTTTCTGTGTGTGCAGTCCGATTAACCGATGAATTAGCGAAGCGAAATTTCCCGGCGTCATTGCACGGCCGATGCATTTTACCGTGCAAATCACGAGAGCATCGCATCTGCGAGAAGGACTTATTAAAAAGTATCCCTCAAAAGCGCACTTGCGTCTGATGAAGAGCGTAATCAAAGCTCGGGGAAAATATTTTCCTTCTCGGCGGCAATAAAACGAGTTGCTGATGTGCCTGTATCCGGGAACGCATAACATCGGTATAAAAAGGACATATCGTATTTACCAATTTGCCGTCAACCGTAAAACGTCGTCGAACGCGTTAAAAGCGGCGACGGGACGAGAATATCACCAGCCGTATTACGGGCGCGCAGAATTTATTAGTTGTGGGTATTCGGTAAAGTCGATCTTATCACCATTAACTGACACTATGTTCGTTAGCTTTATTGTTTGTTGGATAATCGTAAAGATGTAATGACCGAGGCACGCATGATATACCGCTCGATCGGTTTACGATTCACGGTTTAAGATACAATGCATAAGTCGTATCGTAGATTGTGTATGTGTATATATGAATTGTGTCGGATGATGCCGAAGCGGCATAGTAACCAATCATGTGATATTCGGCCGCATCCAACTCTATTGGCCACTATAACTTTGACGTAAATGTTTATTGAATTACTGCAGAGAGTTAGCGCTAATTCGAGGGATATTACGAGGTAAATCCCATCTACATGTTAATAAATTGACAATATTGCAAATATCATGCATTACTATGCATTAACGTTTAGATATTGCATTTATGTAAAATATCGATATATTATGCCGCTAGAATAGTTGTATTGCACATATTATATTTATCGCCCTTATTAATACATTATTAAAAATTGTTTGAAAATAAAGTGTGTAGAAATACGAAAATTCATAGAAATTAAATAAAAGACATAATATAATTTAAAAAAAAGAAAACGAGACAAATTGCTTTAATAATCCTGAATAAGTCGGAGTGGCTTACAGAGAGCGATCGATCCTATCGAAACCTTGTTACCTACGTAATGTAATAGCCCTTAAAGGATAGCCCAGACATACTATAAGTATAACAAAGATAAGCATATTAGGGGGAAGGAAAGCTGAGGAAAGTTGAAACCATAACACGGAAAGAAAATAATGTGCGCGAGTAAATCATATAAGCCCGAAAAACGACTCATCTCGGAAACCACACAAGATACATCAGATAATTTTTACCATTTTTCAGAAATATTGTTCACCATATCAGAGTAGTAAAAAACACAGAGATATGTGTAATTGTAATAATTTCACTGGCTGTCTCAATTCGTCCAGTTGCAGCAGACATATTTTAATTTCGCATTCGATATTGATTAATCGGCCGCAAAGAAAATGTATAATAGGTAACATAATATATTATGCCTGTGAGGTGCAGGTTTTTGTACAAATATTTTAATGAGCGTAAAATCAGTGAGACGGAAATAAAATATGTCTGCGATGATATATTATATAATCAGTATGCGTCGACTTTTCATGTAATTATGCGACTTTTAATTATTATCGGACAATGACGTGTGAAATACAAATCAACCCGTAGCGAATGCGATTCTGATTTTATTGAACAATTGTATATTTATTAATTTGTATGTTTACTAATATTCGCTAATTTGCCTTTTTATAGCTATACATTATTTATTTTTTATGAATTTATTCTTAAATATATACGTCTGTTATCCGTAATTATTCTGTTAATATGGTGTATAATAGACCGCCGTTACACGGTTATTACGTTATTTGTGGTCGGCCACTACAAATTGTAAAAACAACCCTAACTGAAAGGCAAGAAGCGAAGAAGATTATCTTGCGGTTGCGATTACTTTGGCTTCCTTCCGACGTATCGCGTTCTACGCGAATGCTTATCGATCTGAACTACACATATTGAATTGATAAAAACAAAGAGATTATATTGCAAATTACGTAGACGTAGACTATAAGACCATTATTTTTATAATTACTCATATCCATTATTTGACAAAAATAATCACTATTTTATAAATGTCTAATTATTTCTCAATCTATATTTAATCTTCATAATGGTTTATGGTCTTTAAATAACGTTGATTCATGAATCATTTGTTAATTATTTCTTTAAAAAATTGCAGTCAAATTATGCTAGTTTAGATTATTTCAATGACTTAATAAAAGAAAAAGTAATTTTGAGTTTTTGACAGATAAAAAGTGTAATGATATGAGTTGAAATAAAGTTCACGTCAGAAAAAGAGAGAAAGAAAGAGAGTCTAAAAATTTATAAATTTTCTCTATCGTGAAATACAGAAACGATTATCTCGCAACATTATTATTCTATAGTATCTTAATTTTATGTTGTAATAGTAAAATTATATATATATATATATATTTTCATTTATTATATAAATTTATTTTATTGTTAGAGAATATATTAAGTAAGTTTTTCATTTTACGATTGCGTTGATTATGGCTCTCAAAATAAATGTTTAGCGTTTAAAAGCGCGCTATACAACCGTATGCAAACGTTACTCTGTCGATCGCGTGTTTCGATAATCAGATGAAAATCCAAATCTCGCCGGGAGCGATCGCGCATTTCCCGCCAGTGGATCGGCAAACACAAAGCAGCTGCAGGTGCAGAAAATGCGAAAGAACGACGGACGTTAATGCCGAGGCTGCACTTGTTCGTCGGTTTAATTAAACGCACTTCTTTCACGTTCAACGACTATTTTCATTCGACTCTCGTTCTCCTCGTCCTTTCCATCTTTCGCCTTCTCGTTATCCCTTCACCCTTATTTCTCCAACCTTCTATCCATCGCCAACTCTCTTAACTTCTCCACTGACTACGGGTTCATGTCCGCGCCAGACATGCTATTGGCGCGAAACACGAATAATTATTACCATAATAATCATTAACGAATAATTGCATTTAAACATCATTCTTTCTGGATACTTATTATTCATCTTTTTATACGTATTATATATGACGGCTTACGCACTTCTGAGCGCGAGAGGAAGAGCTCCTGTCTATTTAAAAGGATGTACATTTTAAAAGCTTATTTTATAGAATTCCGGTTACTTTTGTCTCGAGAAATTATCGACTCAAATATGTAATCGATATCGCCGGAAGTTTGTATGGCACGTAAGAAAATTTCTGATTTAGTACGGCGCGAAGACGAGAATATTCACGAACTAATGTTGAAATAAGGCAAACGGGTAAATTTAGGAACTGGGTCAAGCTTGAAGAAGAATGTACCGTTAACGAGACGTCCATCGATATTAAGAGAATTGCCAAAAAGGGACGATTAAAATACTCGTCATCCACAAGCTAATGCACTTATTGATAAAAGCATTTTATTTAAATTTTCATTCATTTTAGAGGTGGAAATCAAGCGGGCCTCTAAACGAAGTTAAAAAATCTATTTATCGGAAAACAAATGAAATATTTTTAGAGAATTACTTTTTAATTGCTAAGAGAATATAAGTTTTATTGTCAATTATATTTTGCAAGAAAAAAACAGTCTTTCAAGCAAACATATAAAGTCATTGAACGATCGAATTCGATCGAGTCGCTTTTACCCTACGATACAATGTGATAGAAGAGCGAGACGTTGGCGACATGTAGAATCGGAAAGTGCGCGCGAGACTAAAAATGAGAGAATTTCTCTACGAGCTCGATTATTACGAAGTTGTACGGCACTCCCGTAGCGGCATTAGTGGTGCGCAGTCTGAGAGTTCTCATTTACCGCGGGATTATTACGCGGCACTCCCGTAGCGGCATTAGTGGTGCGCAGTCTGAGAGTTCTCATTTACCGCGGAACCGTGATAACAACTACCTACCTACCTACCTACCTACCTGCCTGCTTCTGTTCGTTCCTCGTCCGTTTCAGTCCTCTCCCTGTGCAACAACCATCCCCGCCGAGGATTCGAAGCTGGTGTATATTATACCGACTATGTCCGACGACCCGAAAGCTCCACGTCTCCGATTTCATGTGCTATCTAAAATCCTCAATTCTGTCGGCGACTGACTTGCGATGTGCCATCGTGAAATTATTCGGTCGAGAAAACGCATTATAAATCTCGCGCAGATCATCTATTATACTAAATTTGACGTGTAATCGAGAAAAAAATCTGGATCTTGTACAAATGAAATAATACTGGCGGCAAACGAATGATTCTCATCGGAGTGACACGCAATGTTGAAGTGCAATTACTAATTTGGAGTGTCGAGGAACGGCATCCCGACAGGAAATACTTGAAACAGTCGAAATAATTGCTCTCGCTCGATCGTAAATGAAGAGATTAAATAAATTCCTGTATGTTAATCATTTCTTTAAATCAAACTCTGTAATGGGAGAGTAAATTACGTAAGAGATATTATACGGAAGGCGTTCCCTGGGTATAGTAATCTCTTTGATTCCCAAATGTTTTAATTTATAATCTAACAATCTGCAGAGATAGAGAGAGAGAGAGAAAGAGAAAGAGAGAGAGAGAATTTCCTTTCTTCGGTCCAATCTCTATTCATACCTTGCATTATTCCCATTCTTGGTTCGACGAGTCGAGCAGCTTGCGAATTGCCAAGTTACGTTTAATTAAACATCATTCCGTTGAATCCCATATCTCTCGGAATGTGACGTTGTACATAAACAAATCATTTTATTTTACTTCTTAATTCGCATTAATATAACATCACAGTGCATATCCTACAGAAAATATTGTTAAAGACTCTTTATCTATTTAAAATAGATTTAATTTTACGATAAAAGAATCTGTAATTTCAAACAAAAAAATGATTGAAAAAATTAAACTATCAAAAAAATCAATATCACATTTTTTCGTGATAATATTTTAACCACTATAAATGTCAATTTTATCTTAAAATAAAAAAGAAAAGTAATATAATTATTTGGAGGAAGAGGAAAGCATGTATAGAGGCGATGCGAAAATGAAGCGAATCAATAGTGCAATCGTGATATCTAGCATCAATGGAGCGCATTGAAGATGCACGGCAAAGCGACGGATGAAACGTGAATAGAGGATGGATGCACAGATAGAACCGATCATGTAATACATTCCAATCGTATAGTCCCCGGTACACGAAATTATTTCATCTCGCTCTCAACATTACTCTGAAAATACACCGGTCGACAAATTCCAATTCCAATAGCGAATCGCAAACAGGTACAATAAATAATGAAGAAATAAAATAAAAACACAAAAAAACAATACATTGAAATAAATTCGGCTAACCGTACGACAGATGCGAAAATGCAATATGAAACGGTGATTTATAACAACTAGATGTTTTTAAGTGTAGATATGGTAATCTTTTTTCGTCTCTCATCAATTGTATAAAAAGATATTCTGCATCATATCTGTTTGTTTGCGCGCCTGCGGAAATTAAGTTCGATTCGATCGTGTGTCAACTATCCGCGGTTTTATTTTATATATATATATATATATATATAGTATATATATCGAACAATCTCAAATATTTACAAACTACGCGCGCGCGACGTGTACGCGTAAAACTTTATTCGCATACTTGCATTGTTTGCAGGAGAGCATAGGTCGCGAAAACAATTTATATGAATAATAACAACAACTTCCTTCCAAACTCCTCTTTTGCTCTCGCTCTCGCTCTCGCTCTCTTTCTATCTGGGAAACAAATATAACGTTTGCATTCGCGTTACAATTATTTCAAAGGCACGTCGTGGTCTCGTCACCGACAATGACACTAAATACAAGGCATTTCTAACATGACCAACAAAGCGCAAAATTTGTGACGTGTTTACGGATAGGAAACATTGCTCGCAATTAAAATATCCTCCATCACTAAATTTCGGCTCGCTGGAGCACGCTGTAACACTCGAGAAAGACAATATCGACGAGTAAGTTCGACCGACGAAGCATAATGGAAAAGATATTGTTAAATTTTAATTAAAACCAATTTCAGGTACGACTCAAAGACGAACAATCTTACCGTGAAAAAGTAACAGAAGCTAAAAAGGAAATCGTAGTTAATTAGTACTTAGCATCTCATCGAGTTATTACGGCCGTCTTGCGGGAATAACTGAGGGAGAAATGTTTTCTTAATACGAATCAAACTTGTAGAAGGATCTTGAATCTATTGAAGTTTATATTTAAATCGGGCACGAACTTATGCAATCACCTGATATATATACATACATATAAGTTAAATATCTCTAATTTAAATTATTATTTATATGTGAAAAGAAATTGTATTATTTATGTAAATCTAATATATCATCCATTTTTTATTTTTTTACATTTATTATATAAATTTATTTTATTGTTAGAGAATATATTAAGTAAGTTTTTCATTTTACGATTGCGTTGATTATGGCTCTCAAAATAAATGTTTAGCGTTTAAAAGCGCGCTATACAACCGTATGCAAACGTTACTCTGTCGATCGCGTGTTTCGATAATCAGATGAAAATCCAAATCTCGCCGGGAGCGATCGCGCATTTCCCGCCAGTGGATCGGCAAACACAAAGCAGCTGCAGGTGCAGAAAATGCGAAAGAACGACGGACGTTAATGCCGAGGCTGCACTTGTTCGTCGGTTTAATTAAACGCACTTCTTTCACGTTCAACGACTATTTTCATTCGACTCTCGTTCTCCTCGTCCTTTCCATCTTTCGCCTTCTCGTTATCCCTTCACCCTTATTTCTCCAACCTTCTATCCATCGCCAACTCTCTTAACTTCTCCACTGACTACGGGTTCATGTCCGCGCCAGACATGCTATTGGCGCGAAACACGAATAATTATTACCATAATAATCATTAACGAATAATTGCATTTAAACATCATTCTTTCTGGATACTTATTATTCATCTTTTTATACGTATTATATATGACGGCTTACGCACTTCTGAGCGCGAGAGGAAGAGCTCCTGTCTATTTAAAAGGATGTACATTTTAAAAGCTTATTTTATAGAATTCCGGTTACTTTTGTCTCGAGAAATTATCGACTCAAATATGTAATCGATATCGCCGGAAGTTTGTATGGCACGTAAGAAAATTTCTGATTTAGTACGGCGCGAAGACGAGAATATTCACGAACTAATGTTGAAATAAGGCAAACGGGTAAATTTAGGAACTGGGTCAAGCTTGAAGAAGAATGTACCGTTAACGAGACGTCCATCGATATTAAGAGAATTGCCAAAAAGGGACGATTAAAATACTCGTCATCCACAAGCTAATGCACTTATTGATAAAAGCATTTTATTTAAATTTTCATTCATTTTAGAGGTGGAAATCAAGCGGGCCTCTAAACGAAGTTAAAAAATCTATTTATCGGAAAACAAATGAAATATTTTTAGAGAATTACTTTTTAATTGCTAAGAGAATATAAGTTTTATTGTCAATTATATTTTGCAAGAAAAAAACAGTCTTTCAAGCAAACATATAAAGTCATTGAACGATCGAATTCGATCGAGTCGCTTTTTACCCTACGATACAATGTGATAGAAGAGCGAGACGTTGGCGACATGTAGAATCGGAAAGTGCGCGCGAGACTAAAAATGAGAGAATTTCTCTACGAGCTCGATTATTACGAAGTTGTACGGCACTCCCGTAGCGGCATTAGTGGTGCGCAGTCTGAGAGTTCTCATTTACCGCGAAACCGTGATAACAACTACCTACCTACCTACCTACCTACCTACCTACCTGCCTGCTTCTGTTCGTTCCTCGTCCGTTTCAGTCCTCTCCCTGTGCAACAACCATCCCCGCCGAGGATTCGAAGCTGGTGTATATTATACCGACTATGTCCGACGACCCGAAAGCTCCACGTCTCCGATTTCATGTGCTATCTAAAATCCTCAATTCTGTCGGCGACTGACTTGCGATGTGCCATCGTGAAATTATTCGGTCGAGAAAACGCATTATAAATCTCGCGCAGATCATCTATTATACTAAATTTGACGTGTAATCGAGAAAAAAATCTGGATCTTGTACAAATGAAATAATACTGGCGGCAAACGAATGATTCTCATCGGAGTGACACGCAATGTTGAAGTGCAATTACTAATTTGGAGTGTCGAGGAACGGCATCCCGACAGGAAATACTTGAAACAGTCGAAATAATTGCTCTCGCTCGATCGTAAATGAAGAGATTAAATAAATTCCTGTATGTTAATCATTTCTTTAAATCAAACTCTGTAATGGGAGAGTAAATTACGTAAGAGATATTATACGGAAGGCGTTCCCTGGGTATAGTAATCTCTTTGATTCCCAAATGTTTTAATTTATAATCTAACAATCTGCAGAGATAGAGAGAGAGAGAGAAAGAGAAAGAGAGAGAGAGAATTTCCTTTCTTCGGTCCAATCTCTATTCATACCTTGCATTATTCCCATTCTTGGTTCGACGAGTCGAGCAGCTTGCGAATTGCCAAGTTACGTTTAATTAAACATCATTCCGTTGAATCCCATATCTCTCGGAATGTGACGTTGTACATAAACAAATCATTTTATTTTACTTCTTAATTCGCATTAATATAACATCACAGTGCATATCCTACAGAAAATATTGTTAAAGACTCTTTATCTATTTAAAATAGATTTAATTTTACGATAAAAGAATCTGTAATTTCAAACAAAAAAATGATTGAAAAAATTAAACTATCAAAAAAATCAATATCACATTTTTTCGTGATAATATTTTAACCACTATAAATGTCAATTTTATCTTAAAATAAAAAAGAAAAGTAATATAATTATTTGGAGGAAGAGGAAAGCATGTATAGAGGCGATGCGAAAATGAAGCGAATCAATAGTGCAATCGTGATATCTAGCATCAATGGAGCGCATTGAAGATGCACGGCAAAGCGACGGATGAAACGTGAATAGAGGATGGATGCACAGATAGAACCGATCATGTAATACATTCCAATCGTATAGTCCCCGGTACACGAAATTATTTCATCTCGCTCTCAACATTACTCTGAAAATACACCGGTCGACAAATTCCAATTCCAATAGCGAATCGCAAACAGGTACAATAAATAATGAAGAAATAAAATAAAAACACAAAAAAACAATACATTGAAATAAATTCGGCTAACCGTACGACAGATGCGAAAATGCAATATGAAACGGTGATTTATAACAACTAGATGTTTTTAAGTGTAGATATGGTAATCTTTTTTCGTCTCTCATCAATTGTATAAAAAGATATTCTGCATCATATCTGTTTGTTTGCGCGCCTGCGGAAATTAAGTTCGATTCGATCGTGTGTCAACTATCCGCGGTTTTATTTTATATATATATATATATATATATAGTATATATATCGAACAATCTCAAATATTTACAAACTACGCGCGCGCGACGTGTACGCGTAAAACTTTATTCGCATACTTGCATTGTTTGCAGGAGAGCATAGGTCGCGAAAACAATTTATATGAATAATAACAACAACTTCCTTCCAAACTCCTCTTTTGCTCTCGCTCTCGCTCTCGCTCTCTTTCTATCTGGGAAACAAATATAACGTTTGCATTCGCGTTACAATTATTTCAAAGGCACGTCGTGGTCTCGTCACCGACAATGACACTAAATACAAGGCATTTCTAACATGACCAACAAAGCGCAAAATTTAACTGTGACGTGTTTACGGATAGGAAACATTGCTCGCAATTAAAATATCCTCCATCACTAAATTTCGGCTCGCTGGAGCACGCTGTAACA